TGGTGCCTGGCGGAGAAACCCTGGGTGGCCCAGGCCAGACCTGCCTCTCTCCCCACAGCACCCAGGCACCGTGACTCACGTCAGGAAATAGCAGCTTCTGACACAGAGAGGCCAATAGCCTTCTGGGGTCTCGAGGGGGAGAAGCAGGGCTTCCTGTGAGAGTTACCAGAAATCCTGGAGCAGGCGTGTGGGAGGAGAGCAGAGGCCCTTAAAGCCAGGTGGGCCCCTGCTGCTTCTCCTGGCTGAGGACCAGCGTTCACTGGTGAGGGGTGGCTATCTGGCCAGCAGGGCTCGGGGGCTGCGAGGGGAGACTCTGGGGCTGGAGGGGGAGCAGGGCACAAGGGAGGGGCGGGAGGTAGGCCCCTGGCCCCGCTGCCTCCTTCACAGATTCAGGGAGGTCTCCGCAGAGCCCCTGTGCTGTTCACCTTTTCTAGCCTGGAGGCACGGTGGGAGGGGGTTCTTGGGGGCACCGAGGGGCCACTGCATGCAGGCTTGGGGGGCCTGCCCTCCAGCGACCACACCCCTGGCCCCTGCGTTTCGTGCTTCCTTGGGCTTCCCCCCACCCCATCACCCCAGCCGCTGCTCCTCCCCAGAATTATCTCATGACAGAGCTCACTCCCCACTGTGGTTGCTTGATAAAAATAGCCGCCACAGCCTCCTTTGGGTTCCACAGGGTTGCTTTCCAGGCCCTGGGGGTGGGTCTGCAGTGCTCTGCCCTTCTCTGTGAAGTGTGTAGTATTCTTCCAGGCCCCTTGCAGGGGCTTCGTGGTGCCCTCCCCAACACCCCTCCCGCTCCATCCCTGCCCCGCCACAAGTGGGGTCCCAGGGTCTTCTAACGTGCACCTGGGGTTTGGTTGTATTGAAGCCAACAAATCAGAAGACATCCACCACTTCCAAGAGTTTGCAACTCAGAGTTTGCAAGAGCAGGGGACGGGGCGCCCTAGGCCACGCGGGAGGGGAGGCCAGAGACTGAGAGAAGCAGGACCTTTACTGCATCCTCTTCAGGAAGGACAAGGCAAGGCTTAGGGCGAGAGCTTAGGGTTGGCCAGCATGAGCCAGCTCAGGGACTCTGGGGCTATGGGGTGGTCCTGGCCTTGGGGTGATGAGGGCAGAGGATGTTGGCTTGGGGTGTTAGGGTTAGATAAAGGGGGTGGTGAAGCAAGTTGGTTTAGGATGGGTCTGTCTGGGGCGTCATTTGCTATCATTAGAAATTAGCTCTTCTGGGGAGGCGCTGGCTTTTCCCAGAGCAGCAAGGGCCCCCAAGGTGTCAACATTTCATAAAATATAGAAAATAAGCAACTTGATGAACACAGAACCACTCGGAGGTGGTAGGGTCAGTTAAAGCAGTCACTGTGTTCTCTGGGCCGAGTCCTGGGCAACTCGCCTCCCCTTCTGAACCTCGATTTCCTGTCTGTGAAATCGATAACTCTCCATGTGATGATGACTTTTGAAGGGACAGAGGCTGAGCGAGCCGGTCTAACACCACTGCCAGGGTGACTGGGGGGGGGTTTAAGGAGACAGTGGTCAGGGCCTGGCCCCAAGTAGGGGCCCCGGATGTGGCTGCCAGCATCTTGCTCCCATCAAAGATTGGAAAAGAAAGCTGCAGAGAAAGATGTGGAGGGAGGCGTCTAGGGCCTTTTCCCGGGGTTGTTTGGAGCCCTCAAAGCAGAGGTCATGGGTAGACAGAACCCTCAGGAATGTTCTTGGAACTCAGAGGAGCCGCTGGACACAGCATGGCATGGAGAGGCTGGCCCAGGAGCCGGGAGCCCTGGGGCCGGAGGCGGGGTGTGCAGGGCCGTGTCTGGGGGAGGCAGGGGCTCCGGGCAGAGCGCAGCCGGGGTCTTGCCTGACTCAGAGACTGGAGAAAACAGGGCCCCGAAAAGGAAACCCTGAGACCCAGAGGTGAGCAGCTCTGGGACAAACACGGACTTTGGGGTCCTGGGTGGGGCGGGAAGCAGGCAGCTCCGGCGGGGAACCTCTGAGGGCCGAGTCAGAGCAGCCAAGGGCCCGGACACATGGAATTTCCTCTGCCTCCTGGGTGTGACTTCTCTGGACTCTGGGCCAGCAATTCATGTGTTTACCAGAGGCAGATGCTGGCGAGGGAAGCTGGGCCTCCGGCCACAGGGTGCCCAGGAGCCTGCAGAGGGACCTGGTGCCCTTGGCTGGAGAGAGGACATCCAGGGGAAGGCGGCTGGCCACATGGGGCACTGAAGTGCACGGGCCCGGGTTTGAATCCTGCTCTCCTTACTAGTGTGTGGCTTCTGGCAATTTCCTGAGTTCCCCGAACCTCAGTTTCTCCACTGGACACCGATATCAACCCTTCATGAGCCTTCAGAGTCGACTTATTCTGTAGGTAGGTCCAGTGCCTGGGGCTGGCAAAAATGTTTTAATTTTAAATTCTTCATTTTAAATCTCTCTTTGTGAAAGGATCTGGCCTTTTTCTCTGGCTCCTCTTGCTCGTCTTCTGCACAGGGCGCAATCGTGTCTGGGCACTTGTGCTGGGGTTTCTCTCCTGCCTCTATCGGACAGCACCCCACAGTCCTGGACCCTCCTTGAGGATTTGGTCTCCTCTGGTCTGGCTGGGGTTGTCTGTTTACTGCCCCATGGGAGAGGAGAGGTCTGGGGTGGGAGCCCAGGAGGTCTGGATTGGCCACGGGAGTGGCTGCTCATGGCCGTATCATGGGCTGTGTTTTCTTTTCCAGAACCCCAGAGATGAAGGGCCTCCTCACACTGGCCTGGCTCCTGGCTTGTAGTAAGTGCTGTGTCAGAGGGTATAGGGTAGCAGAAAGGGGCCGGTCCTCGGGGTCACAGAGACCTGAGCTGAATCTCAGGCCGGGCTGCTTGCTCGTCGGTCACACAGGCTGACGTTCCGCTAAGTGAAAGGGCTGTGGCCAGCCACAGGAGGTGGGGAGCTGAGGCCTGGTTGTGCGGGGACCGTGGCTTGTAAATACAAGAGCCGGGCTTTTTACTTCTGCTCACAGCAAAAGAAAACAAAAAAGAAAACCAACTACAAAAACCAGGCCTCTTATACAGACTTTCTGTGCCAGAATTTCACATCTCTGTCCAGGCCTTTTATATACCCGCTTCCCGGCTGGAGGGAGGGCATGGAGGGGCTTTGGAGGTGGGGCTTGGCTGTGGGTCCCCCCAGCCTCAGCCCCCAGCACACGACACTCGTGTGCTGTCCTGCTCTGTGACATCTGGAGAGACCCCCGGGAGACCCTGAGCAGACAGAGCCCAGGGCCCACTGTGAAGTCCCACAAGCCCCAGCCCCCTGCTTGTAAGGTGAGGGGGTCGGCTTCCACAGTCTCTGGGCCCCTTCCTGCTCAAGAGTCTGAGTCTAAGGTGTTAGTTGGGGGAGGGGAGGAAGGGAGGGCTGCAGGGTCAGGAGACAGGCTGTGTCTGTCTGTCTGGGTCCTACAGATGCCCTATTCATTCTACGTCATTTTTCCTGGCCATTTACCACGTACCTGCTGCCATGCTCAACACTTGCATTTTCATTGGAACCCTCACGACAACTCTCAGACACAGGTGGTCATTTTAAGGCCCCCTTTGCAGAGGGGGAGACGGAGGCTGGGAGTGGCTTTTCCGCATCATCTGGGAATTAGTGGCGGGACTCAAATGCAAACTTGCCAACTCGCCACCACTGCTCAAGTGGGCAAGTCTGTTCATGGGGAGAATACAAAAGGGACAGCCAGGGGCCCTTCCTGGGGGCTCAACAAGTTAGGACCCAGCACTGCAAGCTGGCACAGCTGCTTCAGATGAGTCCGACCCCCGCCCTGGAGCTGACCCACATGGCGTGGCAGACCTCTCCTGTCTCTCTGGCTGCTCCCCTCAAGCTGTGTACTTCATCAGTCTGCCTGTTCTGCTCCCCACTCTGTCTCTGTCTCAATGCCCCTGCACCTCTGGCCTGTACCCCAGTTCTGTATGCATAAATAAATACATCTTTTTAAGAAAGGAACACTTGGAAGTCCCCAAGCTCCAGGAGAGAGAGAGGGCAGGGGCCCTGGGAAATGGGGCTGGGCCGGTGTGCCGGGGTTCACGGGTGCCTGGGCTGTGTCTCAGGTGTGCCTGCTGTACCCGGGAGCTTGCTAGACCTGAAGTCAATGATTGAGAAGGTGACGGGAAGGAACGCCCTGACCAACTACGGCTTCTACGGCTGTTACTGCGGCTGGGGTGGTCACGGGACCCCTAAGGATGCTACTGATTGGTGAGCTGATGCCCCACCTGCTCTTTATCCTGCAGCTGCTCTTTATTCACGAAGCCCCATTTAATTCCCTGTTGATTCTGGAAGATGAGTATTAAAAAGCCATTTTATAGACAGGAAAGCGGAGTCTCAAGGAAGTTGTGACTTGCCCAAGATACATCTGTAACACCCCAGACCTCAGGGGCCTTTGCGTCACGCAAATCACCCTGAAATGTGGTGGTGTAAAGTGCAGAGGACAGTTAGCTGTGCTGATGGAGCTTACATTTGGTCTGGGCCGGCTGGGCTGGGTGGTCTCAGCTCAATGGCGGCTGGATACCATGCCTGGCACACTGTGGGAGGGGGTGGGAGTCAGTGTCTTCCCCTGTCAAAGTCCTTTGGGCTTCCTCAAAGCATGATGACACTTGGGCTTTAAGAGCAGGTATCTCAAGACCACAAGACAAAGCATTTTTATGCAGTTTCTGGTGTCACGCTCATGGTGGAGCATGGTGGATCCATTCCAAAGGCTTTAAGAGGGAGGAGATCTAGATTCATTTGTTAGTGGGAAGTGTCAGTGTTCTAGAATGTGTGGGATGGGAGGTATTGTTCTTAAAAAAGGCAAATGCTGAGTTAACAATTGAGGTGATTCTCCACACAAATAGTGCACAATGAAATGAACGGGTAGCAGGAGGTCGAAGCCAAGTACTTTGAGCTGCAGTGGGAGTTTACAGACAAGCAAGGACAGGAAGCTGGAATGGTCCATGTAGCTGTAGATTAGGGCCGGAGCCTTCAGGATGGAGTCCCGGTTAGCCTGATATAGAGGCAGATGTCTACATACAAGTACATGTACGTGTCTACATACGAGAAATATGTCCAAGTATGTGTGGAGATACAGAGTAGCGTACACAACCGATTTAGGTCCTTAGCTAAGAGAAGTGACACCCCAGTGTCAATGAACAACATCACGTGCCCAGGTTTGGTTCCTAATGCCATTCTCTGGTAAATAAGGAACCAAGACTCCTTCGAGAGATGGATGATTCTGGAATTAGGAACTGTATGAGATAAGTTTGGGGTATCTTCTAAGGCTAAAAAGTAAGAAAGTGCTTAGACAAACCCAAGTCCTACATGATAGGGGATCTGAAAGGGCCCTGAGACCAGCTGGAAGAACTTCCAAAGCCACAGCCAGAGCATTCTGAGCAAAAAAACAAACCCAGAACTTCAGTCTTACGATGAGAAAAACATCAGAGAAATCCCAGCTGCGGATATCCTATAAAACACCTGGCCAGAACTCCACAAAACTGTCATGGCCACTAAAGACAGGTGAGTGTGGGAACCTGTCACAGCCAAGAGGAAGCTAAAGATCCAGACCCAACAGAGCATCCGTGGTGGCCTAGGGGTTGAGCTCAACACTATCACCTTGCTCCTCCGGCCTGAAGTCAGCGATTGAGAAGGTGATGGAAGCAATGTCCACACCAACTACGGCTTCTGCGGCTGATATGTGGCTGGGGTGGTCTCGCTTTGGGGGGTCCCAGGTGTCCCTTTTGTATTCTCCCCACGAACAGAAGCAGAGCAGGGAAGTGAGGCTTGAGCAGTGGTGGCGAGTGGGCAAGCTGGGGTCAGTTATTTTAAATGCAGTCTGCCCCATCTATACTGAGAACTTGACTTTTTGCTCATACGACAGTTCAGTATGAGTCACATAGGATTCCAGGGCCCAAGTTCTTCCCATCTTGTGGGGCTGCGATCCTCAGAGCCCTTGCCTGGGTCATTTCCACCTGGCTGAGAGATGGAGAGAGAGAGAAAATGGGAGAGAGCATTGGAAGTGATGCACATCACTCCTACACACTTTCCCCTGCTCAGAACCGGGTCATGTGACCACAGGAAGCTGCAAGGGAGGCTGGGAAATGTAGTCTCACCATGAGCTCAGTAGAAAAGCTGGTTAGTGAGCTGCTACCCAGTAGAACTACTAGGCAGCCTTAGAGGAAGAGCAGAGAGAGGTTCAGCCACATTATTGGATTCTTCCCTGCTTGGCCACACCCAGCCAGGTGGGCTCTGTTACCACAGCCCCTCCCCCCCCAACCTTCCATTAGGGATCTGAGTCGCGTGCATTGGCAGGTGCTGTTGGCTGCATGACCACTGCTATGGGCGGCTGGAGGAGAAAGACTGCAGCATCCGGACACAGTCGTATAAATACAGATTCACAGGGGGTCTGGTCATCTGTGGTAAGGCTGGGGCTCTCCATCCGGGCCACCTGCAGAATCTGGGTCTCTATGGGTTCTTAAGTCAGCTGCCCCTAACGGTCACTCAGTCTGTATCTTGGGGAGCAGAGCAGGGGGCGAGAGGGGCAGGATTCTTGCAGATGATCCAACCTTCAGGGGAAAACATCTTAGACTGAACCCTCATGAGGTGCCACATGCTTTACTTGCTTTCTGTTACTTGATGCCCCAAATACCCTGTGCAGTGGTCTCCCTGTTTCACAAGAGTTGCAAACTCAGACTGGCCAGTGCACACAGCAAGAGCTTGGCTCCAGGCTCAGTTCCTCTGAGTTCTATGTCTGTGCTGCTCCCTCCTGTGACAAGTGGGTCCCTCCACAGCAGGGCTGGCTCCCGCTTCAGGCTCAGACATGGGAGGGAGGGCCTGAAACCTCAGCCTGGACAGAGCTGAGCCTCTTCCACCGGGTTATGTTCTGCCCCCATCTTGCCCCCCCCCCAACCCACACACCTGCGCCTCCCTTATCAGCCAGAGCTGAAGAAGCAGACCCAGGTCTTGCTCAGTTAGAATCAAGCCCGGGGCGGCGTCCGCGGGCTGCCTTCCTTCCCCACTCTGTTCTCGGTGTCTGCAGGGCTCGGGGCACTCTGCCAGGTCCAGCTGTGCACCTGTGACCGGAGTCTCGCCTACTGCCTGAGGAGGAACCTGCGGAGCTACAACCCTCGGTATCGATACTTCCCCAACGCCTTCTGCTACTAGTTACCCCGGTGGCCCTGCGACAGGACAGCGCGCCCGGTCAACCCCTGTGCAGGCCTTGTTCTTTCCGGATCGCCGATTGCCGCTGGCCTGGAGGATGGCCCCGCCCTCTTGAGGACCCCAGAGTGTGGCCCTGTCGCAAGGCAGGAAGGTCGGGTGCCAGGTCTCCAGGGCAGCTGATCCCTCTGTGCGGGGCTCTGGCTCCAGGCACGCTGTCTTCACTCTAATGATGCCACTCTCCTCAGAGGGAAGGCGTCCCGTCTCGGGGTGCATTTACTTTTAGCTTCTGCAGCTGGATTGTCACGGCCGCCCTCTAGAGAACTTTTGCCCAAGTAGAAGAAGAAATTGACTCCATAAATCCACCATATAGATATTAAGTAATTTTCACTCTCAAGACTAATAAAAACCACCCAGGCAGGCTCCTCTGCTGTGGCAGGTAGGGGAGGTTGCCTCTGCTTGCCCTCTGTCTTTGGGACGCTAAACCCCTCAAACCACATCCTCTCAGAGGTAGAGGGCACAGACCAGCAAATGGGAGGTTTGCTGGGGTGGGCCTCAAACCTTCTTTGGAGCTCTTGTTCTTAACCTTGGGGGTCAACCAAGCACAGGGTCTTATTCTTTCTGGAGGCGATGGGACAGGACTAGGCCAGAGGAAGGTGTCTAAGCCCCAGTGTGGCTTCTTGGGCTGTGCGGTCTCAGGGCCTGACTGAAACTCTGTCCTTCAAGAAGAGACCAAATGTAAGGACAAAGGTGCCCTGAAACTGCTGCAGGGGACGCTGGGATTTCATAGAACACGGCTTGAAAAGTAGGTTTCAGCTACAGGTTTGTCTTTGTCAAGTAAGGACATTAAAACCCTACTCATCTATCAACTCATGAAAGAAAGGGCCCTAATTCCAGACTGGGGGAGGAAAGGCTGCCCTCCGAAGCAACGGAGGGCCCTCACTAGAGATGCCTGCTGGCTTTCTCACACCAGCCAACCCCCAAGCAACAACATAGCAAATAGCAACTATCTATAAACACTTTTGACATTGAACACTTTCCCAGTGTAGTTTTATATGGTCACCTGAATGGACTGGTGTTTGAGAAAGTCTGCTATAGAATCATACCTCTATTTAGTAATGTAATACAGAAGGATTGCAAAGGTGTCATCTGCTCATGGATTATTACTTTTTTGATCAAAGCCATTTCCCAAATCCATTTTGAAATAGACACGTAGAGGAATGAGAAGCATCACTCTCAATGCAGTTTCTCTTTGACTGCAATATTCTGGGGGATGGAGCGAGGCCCTGTGGAGACTCCCCACCCCCATGAGCCTGTGTTAGGCTCCATGGGGTCTCCATGAGGGGGCTAGTTTGTCCTGAAGGCCAAGGGCCACAGCATTACAGCCTCCACCTGGCGGCCTATTCACTTGTAGGGGATGTGTATTGTTTTTTTATTTTTTTCAGGAAAATTATGTTTATTGAGGTAATGTTGCTTTATAACAGGGTTGTTTTGGTTTAGTTTTTCCTGTTCCTTTGTTCTGATTCTTTACATTCCACATATGAATGAACTGGATCACCCAGTGTTTGTCTTTCTCCTGAGGTGTCTCAACTAGCCATAATCCCTTCCAGTTCTATCCATGTCACAGATGGCAATATTTCATCTTTTTATAGGCCTGTGGTAAGCCATTGTCTATATTCCATTGCATCTTCTTTATCCGTTCATCTGACATGGGCACTTAGGTTGATGCCATAGTTTGGCTACTCATGAACATAGGTGCATAAAGAACTCTTGCAACTAGTGTTCTTGTTTTCTTTAAGTAGATACGTAGGAGGGGGCAGAAGACATCAATATAGTCAAACTTCATTTCTATATTTAAATCAGAGACTATCAAAAGGGTTCATGATGCAACTACAATAGAAATATACATGACCCAAAGATGGGTAAAAGAGCTTAGTATTCTCTTTTTGTGTGTGTGTGGGGGGGTTTAGTGGTTGAAAGTCACTCATTTTAGGTGGTACAGACATAATGGCATTGTATTAGACGGAAACACGATTTTGCTATTGTGTTCAGTTGGCAGTTAAGAGTGGTTGGAAGCGGTATATATGGGTGCCCTATCAATGGGGTGGACTGTCATGGATCTATGTCACTTAGCTATGCAGAAGCCGCATTCCCTAGCATTTCCACTATGAAGAGTTCCAGTAGAGTCTTAGTGTTTTCTATGTAAGCTGTCATATCATCTGCAAATAAAAATAGTTTTACTTCTTTCCCAATTTAGATTTCTTTTATACTATTCTTGACAATTTGTTCTAGTGAGGACTCCTAATGCTATGCTAAATAGTAGTGGCAAGAGTGAACATCTCTGCCTTGCATTTGATCTCAGAATTTGTACAGAACCACAAAAGACCCCCAAATACCAATGCAATTCTTATCAAAAAAAGAATGGAGGTATCACTCTCTTAGACTTTAAACTGCACTGTAAAAAAATAGTAATCAGAACAGTGCAATATTGGAATAAAATTGACACACAGATCAATGGAATAGAATTGACAGTCTGAAAATAAAAATGTGGACAGCTAATCTACAGAGGAGCTGAGAACATGTAATGGAGGAAGGAAAGTCTCTTCAATAAAAAATGTTAGGAAAACTGGACAGGTACATGTAAAAAAATGAAATGAGGCCACTGTCTCAAACCCTGCACAAAAATTAACACCAAATGGATTAAAGACCTGGATATAAGACTTGAAAATACATGGAAGAAAACCTAGGCAAGACACTGTGACATTGGCTTCAGTAGGATTTGGTTACAGCAGCAATGGAAACAAAAGCAAAATAAACAAGTGGAATCATATCAAACTAAAAAAAACTTCTGCACAGCAAAAGAAACAATTATTAGAACAAAAAGACGCCCCACAGAATGGGACAAAATACTTGTGTCAGTCATCAGATAAGGGGCTAATATCAAGGTCTACAAAGAACTCATTCCAAGAAAAGAAAGGACCCAATAAAAAGTGGGCAGAAAATTTAAACAATTTTCAAAGAAGACATACAGATGATGAACAGGTGGCGTGGAAAAATGTTCATCATCACTTATCATTAAGGAAATGCACATCAAAACCACAATGAGCTACCAGCTTACCCCTGAGAATGTCTTGAAGCAACAGTTGTTGGTGAGGGGTGGAGGACAAAGAACCCTCATACACTGTTGGTGGGCATGGAGACTGGTCCAGCCCCTCTGGTAGACAAGATGGCGGCTTCTCAAAGCATTAAAAACAAAACTACCCCATGATCCAGCAATTCCACTTCTCAGTATCTATATATTAATCCAGAGGGCGTCATACACCCTTGGGTTCACTGCATCCCTATTTACAAAGCCACAGCTATGGCAACTTAAGTGCCCCATGGCAGATGAGTCAATAAAGACGATGTGGTAGAGATAGGGCATGGAATACTACTCAGCTGTTAAAAAGATGAAACCTTGCCATTGGCACCAATAGGAGTGGAACTGAAAGGGGATTACACTAGGCAAGTAAAGAAGAAGAAAATGGACAAATACTGGATGATTTCACTCATAGTGGACACTAAAGAATAGAAAGAAACCAAGTAAAGGGGCTGAACTGAAACAATCCCCAGAAACCTGGCTGCAGAATGGAGGCTGCTAGGTGAGGGGACAGGGAGTGGGGGAGGGGGAGGGTACATGGACTGTGGTGCTGACAACCGTTTGGGAACCCACACCTGAGAGGGATGAACCCACACTTCTAACATGCATCCAGTCTTGTAAACGATCATTGCCTCAGTAAAATAATTAACATTAAAAATGCAAATGCCCAAGCTGAATCAAAACTTTAGGTCTGGAATTTGGAAACCTGCATTTGTCAAAATGTTCACCAGGTGAGGCAGAAAATGGATCAGGTGTGGGGATACTTGGAGCCTATATAGGCCACAAAAGGTGAGCAAAGCGACTCGACAAACTTGCACGGGGTGGCCACAGAGCCTGGGCCAACCCGTTGCCCTGGTCCTAATTTTACCCATTTCTAAATCTGGAGCTGTGTCCGCAGGGGTGAAATGTGAATTATAGGAGGTGTATCCCTAAATAAGGACGGAATCCCATATCACCACCCTCGTCCACCTAACACATTCACATTTGAGAACTTTCTCTTTTACTTTCATTTAATGCATTTAAGACACTTCTCATCTTTTATGACAGAATAGGTTCTTCAGGTGTGTTACTGACCCTCTACCTTTTGAAATGGGAATAGAACCCCTGCAACTTGATTACTGAACAATCTTCACCAAACTTGAGGCAGGCTCTGTTTTGACAGGACCTGTTCTTGGGCTTTGTCCTTCGGCACAGAACCTTACTGAGTCAGCCAGAGGGAACCCCACACCTTCCACATCTGATGAGCACAATCCCCCTCTCCCAACTGATATCCGATCTCCTGAGAATCTTGCTGAGTTGGTTTAGCCAGAACTCCTCCCTGTCCTCTATCCTTGGAATTTTCTCTCAGCAATTTTCTCTTCGTTAGCAACTCAACTGTCAATCCAGGCTGTACCCAACCATATTTAGAACCACATCCAGGCCTTTATGACCTCTCTGCCTCCCTCCTGCAATCATTTCTGACTAAAATTTGCTTTTCCTGCTTCATTATTGCCCATCTTTGGTTTTCCTTTCACGGGATCTGTTTCTAGAAGATTCCTGGTCAGTATTTGTTCCTTTGCACTGACCTACCTATTATTCTTTATTTAGCTGCAAACATTTCAGTACCAGCCAGGAGCTGAGGACAAAGACAGATGAATCTTACACAAGAAAATTCACCTCAGAGTCTCCCATCCATCAATTCCAAAGTGACAGATTCTGGGATTTGGCTAACAACTCACTTATCGAGTCGGAGGACCCCAGATCACAGGATCCGTGGGTTGTTTGCTTGCTGTGTCTAAAACTTAGTGAGTCATCTGTTCCAAACAGCCGATTTAATAAATTGGGAATGTTGCGTAATTGGTTTTCTGTAAATCAAAATGAGCCAGCTGTCAGACGCGGAGATTACTCAGGTTTCAATAAAACCTGGTGGTGGTAAACCTCGAAGCTGTTATTATCTTCTCTGGGGATCGCTTGATCTCGAGACAGTTGTGTGATCACACGCAGCATCCAGGCCAGGTGCTAACATGTTTCATCTTGCAGACTTCCCCTG